TTGCCTGCCGGTGGCTGCTGCTGGATGCTGGATGCTGACCTACGAGGTCCCACATTCGGCGCCTGAGGTGCCGAATCGGGCGGCTCGCTGCCGCTGCCTGCGGCTGGCTGCTGCGGGCTGCTGGATGCTGAACCACCAGGTCCCACATTCGGCGGCTGAGGTGCCGAATCAGGCGCCTGAGGCGCAGCATTCGGCGCCTGGTGTGCCGAATTGGGTGCCTTGCTGCCGCTGCCTGCCGCTGGCTGCTGCGGGCTGCTGGATGCTGAACCACCAGGTCCCACATTCGGCGGCTGAGGTGCAGAATCAGGCGCCTGAGGCGCAGCATTCGGCGCCTGAGGTGCCGAATCGGGTGCTTTGCTGCCGCTGGCTGCTGCGGGCTGCGGGATGCTGAACCACCAGGTCCCACATTCGGCGGCTGACGTGCTGAATCAGGCGCCTGAGGCGCAGCATTCGGCGCCTGGTGTGCCGAATTGGGTGCCTTGCTGCCGCTGCCTGCCGCTGGCTGCTGCGGGCTGCTGGATGCTGAACCACCAGGTCCCACATTCGGCGGCTGAGGTGCAGAATCAGGCGCCTGAGGCGCAGCATTCGGCGGCTGAGGTGCCGAATCGGGTGCTTTGCTGCCGCTGGCTGCTGCGGGCTGCGGGATGCTGAACCACCAGGTCCCACATTCGGCGGCTGAGGTGCTGAATCAGGCGCCTGAGGCGCAGCATTCGGTGCCTGAGTTGCCGAATCGGGTGCCTTGCTGCCGCTGGCTGCCGCTGGCTGCTGCGGGCTGCTGGATGCTGAACCACCAGGTCCCACATTCGGCGGCTGAGGTGCAGAATCAGGCGCCTGAGGCGCAGCATTCGGCGCCTGAGGCGCAACATTCGGCGCCTGGTGTGCCGAATTGGGTGCCTTGCTGCCGCTGCCTGCCGCTGGCTGCTGCGGGCTGCTGGATGCTGAACCACCAGGTCCCACATTCGGGCGGCTGAGGTGCTGAATCAGGCGCCTGAGGCGCAGCATTCGGCGCCTGAGGTGCCGAATCGGGGTGCCTTGCTGCCGCTGCCTGCCGCTGGCTGCTGC